TGCAAAGTCAAAGTTCCATGTGGAGACATTCCATGACCCTGCTTGTTGGATTGCTCCATGTCCCACTGTATGGAAGACTATGCTAAACAGTCATTTGTGAGTGATGTGAACGCTTACTTCTCACCCTATGAAAATCCTGTTCTGTTTCTAATAATCCCCACTCGGGTTCTTTGCAAATATGACTGAAGGATCCAGCCAAAGCAAGTGTTATCATCACTGTTACTGTGATGGAATGAAGGTGCAGAGAGCTGGAGGAGCAACAGATATACCAGCAAGCCCAGGAGCAGCAGCAATTTCTAGCAACTGCTGAAAGTCCCCTCAGAACATAGATGAGGGCCAGATTCTATTGTCCTTGCTGCAGTTTCTTCCAGATGAGCAAGGTACAGTTTTTCTGCAGACTGAGGATGTTCCCTGACACTGTCACACAACTGTTGCAAATGTTGCTGCAGGACCCGTGGCCATCCTGTCCCCGGGGCTGTCAAGCTGACAGCTGTGCTAAACTTTTATGTAGCTGTTCCAAGGAACCACTGTGAGGGATCGTTCAGTTGTTCACCCAGAAATGGATCAAGGCTAATACCAATGCAGTTTCTGTTAGATCACATTGCTTCCTGTTATTTCCCTGCAACGAGGCCAGTGCTGTAGCTCAGTCAGTCTGATTAGCAGCATAGCTGGCTTCTCCTAGATTCCAGGGTCAACACATTGCATTGAGAATGCCATATCATAATGCAGCTGAGTTCCTCAATAGGAAAAAGTTTCATTCTATCAATGTGCAAGTCATCTGTGATCATCAGTATAACATTTTGAGGGTCTGTGCCAACTACCCTGGGAGCTGCCACGATACTTCCAACCTTGTGAACTTTTAATGGTTCTGGTTTATTTCAAAGGCTGGATGCCTTACAAGGGAACTGTAAACGTATTGGTCCTTGAAAGGCACCTTTGGGTTTCTTCTCCCGGAGGTGTATGGAGCTCTGTTTGTTTATTGTTCACTTCTGTTGTTGCTGAACAAAAGTGAATATTTTGAACCTTTTGAAGATTTCCCTGCTGGAGTTGGGCACATATTGAATAATTGTAAGAATTTAGGCCACACTAGGCATTGGGGAAAAAGTAGCTCAAACTTTGACGGAATTGTAAGATGGAATGAGACGAAGGACGGGTAAGCTACTTGGCTTGGATCTTAGATGGTGATAGCTGTGAAATCGTGCATTTTCATGAGCAATGAAGTCTCTGCTGTGTCACCTATGTATCCAGGGAAGCGTGGGTTTATGGTTGCTCTCCAACTATGCGTGCAGTGAAAGGCAACCCCAGACTTCAAACTCTTGACCAGATGCACAGCTGGGCATCAAAGATGGCACTGGGCGCCATAATCCCAGGGTGCCTTGGCCGTGCTGAGTACTTGTGTCTACGGTGAGTGGGGGAATACGACAAGCAGGTTGCTCTAGAAGCATGGTGCGTTGGTAATGGGACAACCCAAGAAAACATACTAGGCCTCATGGAGAGAAACCCTCCATGGAACTTGACAAAAATGACACTTAGCCAATTTCAACTGGTTAGATTCAGCCGTGTTATTTTTCAGTTGTGGGATGTAGGCACTGCTGGCTTGCTTCTTCAGTCTGTAGCTTTGATATTGTTCACTGAGCAAATTAACATTGTGCATAATAGTTATGATTGGTCTCATTTAATTCAATCTTTTGAAATAATACAGGATAATGAGGGTGCACTTCTCCACATCTGCCATTCACCTCCTTGGCTTAAATAACTTCACCCCACCCTCCTGTGAGCTAACCTTGCGGCTGTAGGCCAAACAGGATCTAGGAGATTTTTGTTTAAGGCCACAGCCAATTTACATTTCTGTTTATATCTGATTCCCCCATGTTGGCCATTGGAGAGGAGGCCTATGTCGGATAGTTTCTGCTGCATGCTTTGACTAGTGCTACTTAAGAGAATGGTTCTGAGGTGGTTAGTGACTGTCACTACAGGCTAACAAATTGGTTATTGTTAAAAGCTTCAGAGAAACCACTTCAGTACCTTTTGTCAGTAGAGTATTAACCATTTTTCACCTGATTTTTCTTTTCAATAATAGGTTTAATAATAATAATAATAGCTTAATAAGAAGGGTCTAGACCCGAAACGTCAGCTTTCCTGCTCCTCTGATGCTGCTTGGCCTGCTGTGTTCATCCAGCTCTACACCTTGTTATCTCAGGCTTAATGCGAATATGTTTTCCCTTAAATCCCTACATTTAAACGTAGCCCCTATTCAAACGTATGCTGTAGCAAAATGGTCAAAAAAAAATCCCAAACCATGACGAATCTCTGTTCTCCAGTTGGTGGCTAAGTGGTCTGGATTGGAGCCCTTAGTATTATATAGCTGACTGATTTGCATAGGCGATAATATGGAAGAATGTTCTTCTCTGGAAACACAGTAGTTCCTGGAAGGAAAAATAGTTAGTCCAGTTACTGGAGCCACTGATCTTTATATTGAGATCTTGGACATGCTCTGTTCTCTTTCCATTAAAAATATCAGCATGCTCAACAAGACTGTTGACCACAATTTGGAGTTGAATGATAGCCTTGCTGCACGCAAACAATATTGTGTCTGTAACTCAGCCACTGACCTACTCGTCAACAAAGGATTGCTTAATAGACATTATATTACTTCATATGGATATTTCTTAAAGTAGTTGCAGTCTATAAAGCATTAAATACAAAAGGTTCCAAAATAATTCAACTAATCAATTTTTCATAAGTTTGTTTTTATTCTTTCCTTATTGTCTTGAAGCATAATGAAAGATTATCCCATTCAACATCTGCCTGATGGCTCTGTGATGGTGGAGTCCATCCTCATTAAAATCAGTGCAACGTCTGATGATCAGAGTACTAAGGACGTGTTAGTTTCATGGACCTACCAGGTGAGTGATCCAGTTTTGGAGATCCACTGTCTTTTATGTCCAGTGAGGAATCCTGTAAACCTCAGGCTTGTGTTTAGAATACTCCCCACGTTGTCCTGTATCCAGATGGAGGCTCTGTGTCTTCATGTCCTGCTTTATACAGTTCGGCAATTGGTGAGGTTGGGAAATATCCAAAGATATCCCAAGCATCTTAGACATCCAAACCCCGAAGAGGAATGCTGACTCTGCTATATCCAAACTAGCTCTGTAGTAAAGAAATATGAAAAAAGCTGCAATTGTGAAATTAGTTTGAAGCAGCCAATCCCTTGAGCAGCAGAATATTTGCAGTGAACAGGAGAAAATGTAAATACGTGTGTCTGTGTGAGCCTCTGTGGGCAGAGGGCAGGGTGCACGTGCATCTCAGTGGGCAGGCAGGTGCAAGTGCGTGAGTGTGCGTGCATCTCTGTGCGCAGGTGTGTCTCTGTCGGCGGGCATGTGTGTGTGTGCACGCACGCGCGGGGGTGTCTGTGTGTTTGTGTGTCTGTGTGCGCAGGTGAGTCTGGCAGGGGCTGTGTGTGTGTCTGTGTGCGCAGGTGAGTCTGGCGGGGGTGTGTGTG